TTCTTGTCCATTATAAACTGTAACTTCAGTAATTGTTACCACATAAAGTATATGTGGATGAAGCAGGTACGTTCGTACCTCTCCCCAGGGTTTAGGAGACAATAAGCGACAGGTTTTTAAAGTTCAGAATCGGATTCCCGTTGGGGGTGATGTTGCCCCTCTTTCTCCCCAGAGGGCATTTAGCAGTGTCTGGGCATTTTTATTGTCACTACTGGGGTGGGCGGGTACTACTGGCATCTAGTGGGCAGTGCCCAGGATGCTGCTAACATCCCCCCATGGGATTACCCCTCCCAGAATACGAGGAGCCTGTGGCTGAGAACCCTGCTGTCAACGGTGAGGTTTACTTGCCCATCTTTTCTGTGGACTCGCTGTGATTGAGTAATTCAGAGGTGAAGTTAGCATGAGCACTTGCAATCCTTTGCGTCCTGCCCTTGGCCTTGGTACCCTGATCAAGGTCAGGACAAGCTCTGGCCGTGTGTGAAGGCTTCCTTTCACACATGGCCAGGCAGCTGACAGTAGCAGCTTTTGATTTGTGTCGTAGTGGAAACAGTGAGAGAAAATGAAGAGCTGACATGATAGTAAGTACATAGGGTCACACGAGATCATGGACCGTGAAAATGTAGTGTGAGCCCCACCGTTCAAGTGTTTGGAGAATCGCAGTGTGGCCGCCCCTGGGAGCTTGATGGCAATCCAGATGCCCAGGTTCCCCTCAGACCCGCTGAATCAGAGTCAGGGTTTTAGCAAGATGCCCCCAAGATGCTGTCCACCCAGAAGGCAGGGAGGCACTGGACACGCATTGTTTACTGTGGACGAAATGAGACCGTGACTGTGACTCTGACTCTGACTAGTGGTATGACCTTGGCCAAGTTAACACAAACCCCATGGCCCCTGGGTGGTTTGGCTGTAAATTGGGGCTATCATCGCCTTTCTCATGAGGTGGTGTGAGAATCAGACAAACTTATTTGTGTCAAGGTAAAAGCTCAGCAAGCTGAGTTGTGACTGACAATAAGTAAAAGAAGGCAAGAGCAGAGAGCATTAGGGAGGCAGTTTATGCCTCAAACCCCACAATCGTCATCACCAAACAATGCTTGTACCCTCAGCAGATCGGATTTCTCTGAATAAGAAAATAGCAAAAGCTGGAGCTTCATAAGCTTCTATAGCAGTGATGGCGAACCTATGACATGCGTGTCAGAGGTGACACATGAACTCATTTTTTTGGTTGATTTTTCTTTGTTAAATGGCATTTAAATATATAAAATAAATATCAAAAATATAAGTCTTTGTTTTACTATGGTTGCAAAGATCAAAAAATTTCTATATGTGACACGGCACCAGAGTTAAGTTAGGGTTTTTCAAAATGCTGACACGCCGAGCTCAAAAGGTTCGCCATCACTGATCTATAGCCTGTGGTCCTTGTCAGCGACCCGGTTGGCAGAAAAACATGGACCAAACAGCCTAAACGCCTAGACGAGCTCCATGAGCCGGCCTGAGTTACACCTGCTCTGTCCATTACACTCCACTGGAGAGGAAGGTAG